ACCTCAATCCTTTTCATTCCAACCACTACCTCAATAACACAGTCCTCCTCGCTCCTTGATTGAGTCACCAATTCACCAATCCTTGCATTAAATGTTTTTCTTCTTCATATACAAAGTACCCAGAAAGACAGAAGTTGCTTAGCTTGGAATGCAAGTCATAAATGACCATTTGATTTCAAAACTTTCCAATGAAGCCTGTCCTGATAAAAACCTTCACAGAACATGCCTTACTGCTACCATCTTCCAGTAAACACACAGATATGAGTTTGACAACCGGCTTTGGTGGCAACCATCCGGATGAAAAAGTTACATAGGTGTTAATTTTCTAATCAGCCTCTCCAGCTTTATTTCTCACCACCCTCCAGCTCTTCTTCCCCAATCTAAACGTATTAATGCTGTCCATTTTTTAAAATGCAATCTGGGGCTTCCCTGGTGGTGCAGTGGTTAAGACTCTGTGCTTCCAATGCAGGGGGCCTGGGTTCAATCCCTGGTCAGAGAACTAGATCCCACATGCTGCAACTAAAAGATTCCACATGTTGCAACTAAAAGATCCCATGTGTTGCAACGAAGATCCCGTACGCCTTAACTAAGACCCGGCTCAGCTAAATAAATAAATTTTTTAAAAGTATTTTAAATAGGGCTTCCCTAGTGGCGCAGTGGTTGACAGTCCGCCTGCCGATGCAGGGGACACGGGTTCGTGACCCGGTCTGGGAAGATCCCACATGCCTCGGAGCGGCTGGGCCCGTGAGCCATGGCCGCTGAGCCTGGCGCGTCCAGAGCCTGTGCTCCGCAACGGGAGAGGCCACAACAGTGAGAGGCCCGAGTACAGCAAAAAAATAAAAACAATAAAAAATAAAAATGCGATCTGCATTTCCTCACCTCTGTGCCTTTGCACTGCTTCTCCCTTCCTCCCTCTCCTACATCTAGCTATTGCTCCTGTCCTTCAACACTATGGGGACCAAGTAATTTACCATACAACTGAGGATGCTTTAGAGAGTAAAAACAAGCAATAAAAATGATCAGATGTTAACTGATCTGTCACAGGAGGAAACTGAAACCGCCCCTAAGCAAACCAAGACCTATAATCATCCTATTTGAGACTCCCCACCTTCCCTGCCAACCCTGTAGGCACCACAGCACCCTGCCAAAATCACTACATCCACCACATCATATCACTGTTAGCTCACACTGCATGCTTTCCGATGGCAGAAACGTCCTAACTAATTGCCAGGTGTGTTCAGTCATTGACACCAAGCAGATATTAAGTTTTGATTAAATGAACAAATGACAACTATGGGCTTATTTAGCATACATACATGGGCTTATTTAGCATACATACATGGGCTTATTTAGCATACATACATAATATAAATGTCCAAAAAATTCAAATGGAGATAGCAGAGATCGTACAACAAATGCTTTTACTCTAAAGAAATACCTTGCAGATTCAGTGTTTTGTCTTTGTAAGAACAGGCTATCTTTAGCCCTTATTTAACCTTCATTTGTTTAACAAGTACTTACTTAGATCGTACTATGTGTCAGGCAGGGTCTTGTGTGTTTGGGACTCATCAGTGACCAACAAAGATTAAGAGCTGGGACTACTGTAAGGCAAGTAAGGCACTCACTTTGGAGCATAAGAGGGCACCAAAAAAAAAAAACCCAACAAACCTCAATAACTGAGATGAAAAATATTTTTAAATATTTTTAAAGTAAAAGCTAATCCAAAAATGATGAATAAAATATCAGCATTTTTCAGTAAAGACAGGATGAGTATTACTGACCTTTTGCCTCAGCCTCCAATGTGACTTGGCATGGCACTGTTAGTGATCCTACTTTTTACTTCAAGTGTTGATTTTTTTCTGCATTAATTTTTATTTTTTAAAATACTGCGTTTGGGGGCTTCCCTGGTGGCGCAGTGGTTGAGAGCCCACCTGCCAATAAGGGGACACGGGTTCGTGCCCCGGTCCGGGAAGATCCCACATGCAGTGGAGCGGCTGGGCCCATGAGCCATGGCCACTGAGCCTGCGCGTCCGGAGAGGCCACAACAGTGAGAGGCCTGCGTAACGAAAAAAAAAAAAAAATACTGCGTTTGGGAATTCCCTGGTGGGTCCAGTAGCTAGGACTCTGTGTTTTCACTGCAGAGGGCCCAGATTCAATCCCTGGTTGGGGAACTAAGATTCTTTAAGCTGCGTGGCACAGCCAAAATAGTAATAATAATACTGCCTTAAATTATTACTCCTCTTGATTACTGGGTTGTTTTGGTTTCTCCCCACCTCTCTGGAAGTTTTGTTCTTGAAGTGGGTGTCTCACTTGCCTGACCCTAAGTTCCTGCCCTTCAAAGATCCCTGCTCACCTGGAGGGTGGCTTCACGGAAAATAGATATTTGAGCAAAAAGACTTGCAAGACATGAAGGGGTTGGCTGAGTGGATTCTGGGGAAGATGAAGAAATGGCAAGAGCAAAGGCCCTGTGGCACCTGTGTGCCTGAGACAATTAAGGAAATGCAAGGAAGCCATGAGTTAGCAACTGAGATGAGTTGAGAGGTCATGGGGAGGTCAGATCACAGAGAATTCGAGCCCATGCTTTCATCCTTTAACAATCCTAAGACGCACCTGTGCTTCTTGGTCTTGATTTAGCGGCTCTGGGGCGGGGCCTGAGATTCTACAGTTTTAACAAGTTTCCAGCTGATGCTGATACTGTTGATCCACAGCGAGCAGCAATGCAAAGTCTAGACTACTATAAGCTCTTGGGACCTTACTCTGAGTAAAAGGAGAACCAGTGCAGGGTCTGAGCAGAAAGTGACATGTTTTCTCGTGTTTCAACAAGGATCACTCTAGCTGCTGTGTTGGGAATAGGTTCTAGATGGGAGTCATATAGAAGCAGAAAAACCAATTAAGAGGCTGATGTATTAACACAGGTGAGAGATAATGGTGAGCTGGACCAGGGTGGTAGCAATGGAGGGGAGAGGGGAACTGATTCTGGGTATGTTTGAAGGCAGAACTTGCAAGATTTCCTGACAGAATGGATATAAAGTGTGAGACAAAGCCAAGAGTCAGGGCTGACTAGGAGGTTTTTCTGGTTTGGGCATCTCGAAGGATGGAGTTCACATCCATTATTCTGGGAATAATTCCAAACAGCACAGGGTGGGGAACATCAGCTCAACTTGGAATGTTAAGTATGAAATGTCTATTGCACACCAAGTGGAATGTCAGAAAGGCATATGGAGCTCTTTGGAATTTGGGAGAGAGATCTTGCCTGGAGAGAAAAGTTTAGGAGTCCTTCAAACATCGTAAGCCACAGTTAATTAGCCAATTATGTGAGCCACTGTGGATACTAAGCAAAGACAAGCCTTGAAAATTTTTTTATCTAAAAATCTATAGTCTTGCCTTAGGGCCCCTTCATTCTGAATTTAAGCCTTGTCCATAAAGAAACCCAAGTGACATCTTGAGCGAGATGTCCTCACTTTTTTCCTCCCAATGCTCATATCCTCAAGCATAATTAAATGAATGAGAATCTTCCAAACCTGTTAAACCCGTGAGGTTCTGAATGTTCTGTGCCTTCTATAGATGTGCTCAGGGACAGCTTACTCTCTTTCACTTAAACTTTTCAGAGGGCTGTGCAGACCCTGGTATTGAGGTAAATTCCGAGGAACTGGAAAGGGTTTTGTATCTTCTGTTGCCATACACAGACAGAGTAAGAATTCCAATGAAGAGTGCTGCCTTGCCCTTCCAAGGCCAGCTGATGGCAGCCTGGATTCGCAGGACCAAAGGTCATTCACATACCATGTGAAATCCTTCCATCAGATTCTGTTCAATAAAAATCTCTTGAACACCTGCTACATACTGAAAACTGTCTCAAGTGCTGAAAATAGAAAACTCTCTTCCTAGTTATCTCCATGAAATCAACTAAAACCATGTAAATTCAACAGAAGAGGAGTGAAACCAAGGTAGAACTGAAGTTGGGGGACAGAAGCTTTAGTTAGCCCAGAGACTGCAAGAAAACACCTCCTTTCAAGAAGACAGCAGAAGAGACTCAGGAAGAAGAGGTGTGAAAGATGGAGACTGACAAATCATTAGTAAAAAGTATGTTGGCAATTATTCCTATGTTAAATATTGGCGTTGGCAAGACTGCTTTGGCTACTGAAATCTGGTTTAGCGATACTAACCCAGTGTTTCCCAGAGTTTGGGGTGCATTAGAGTCACCTGGAGATCTTTAACAACTACTGCAGCCTGGCTCCCCCCACTCCCGACATTCTGATTTAATTGGTAAGAGGTGTGACCTGGGCGGAAGCATGTTAGTTCCCCAGGTGGTCCAAATGTTCAGGAAAGTTTGAGAACCACTGCTCCGGTTCTTCCAAACCTAGTCATTTGGTACGTTGCTCCTCAAAGCTGGTTCATGAAAAGACAGCATCAGCACCAGGTTAGAAATGTAGAATTTCAGCCCCACTCCAAACCTAATTTATCAGTTTGTCTTTAACAAAATCCCTAGGTGGTTCTAATGCACATTAGAGTGCCAGTAACACGGGTTTAGAGAGCATTTCTCTGACTTAAGGGGAGAGAAAGAGGAATTTTAAGGCAGTCATTCCTAATACATTATTTCCATTACCCTTTCCCATTATCTAACATGAGTGCACTTAGAAACTAACAGGAATCTGAAAAACTGATAATACCCCTTTCCAAAGGGTAAATTTGTCTCTACTCTGAACATGAAGTTTAATACCTATAGCTAAGTACATGAGCCTATTCAATTCAAGCTGCTTTTTAATTTCCTTCCATTATTTAGAAAGAGAGGAAAAGGAGGATCCTGCAAATTACCACCTGTTGAACATTAGCATCAATATCAGCTCATTTCAGGAACAGTCTAAATACTATCATTTTCCGTCCACCTGGCTAATGAGAAGACTGGCTTCTAAATTCTCTTTTTAATAGCCACAGTTGTCCTGAATAATTCCAAGTGTCATAAAGATAAGTGAAAGATTAAAATAATAAGGATAGACCAGTACCTCGTCTAGGAAAGCAGTTACATGTCCAAGAGATGAGGCAGGTAACTCTCCAAATAAAACTGTTTGAGAGAAATCATTTACTCCAATGTTTTCAGTACTCTTCTTGGCAATATAAACAAGTTTATGTTTTGCATCTCTTGGAATCTGAAACAAGAGTAACATAATTATTTTAAGTCCACAATGTAGCTTCCATGTTAACAAGCACGATTTGCTGTATCTAACTTGTAAGTAGATTGCTAGCATAAGAAACAAAACCTGGCATCTTACCTACCTTTATAAATAAGATTGCTCCACTGCTCTTCTGCAAAGTTTATACAGTTTTCTTTGTTCTTTTATAATGTTAATTTCACAGTATTATTGGTGTGGAATGTCACCTTTCAAAAGCATGTCAATTAGGATCATCATATACCATAAAGTCTCATAATTAAACAAATACAGGAAGAAATTAGAATGTTTCCATCTTAGCAAAGGTTATTCTTTTGTATAACATTTTCTTGTTCAGAAGTAAGCCAAACCGAGATAAAGACCAAGAGGTCAAATTGTATTTCTATACTCAAAGCAGTGTTTAATCAAGATATTCTAACATTTCCATAACTATCAAGTCATTTCTTCAGATATCATGACCGGGGCCTCCCTGGTGGCGCAGTGGTTGAGAGTCCATCTGCCGATGCAGGGGACACGAGTTCGTGCCCCGGTCCGGGAAGATCCCACCCGCTGCGGAGCGGCTACGCCTGTGAGGCATGGCCGCTGAGCCTGCGCGTCCGGAGCCTGTGCTCCGCAACGGGAGAGGCCACAACAATGAGAGGGCCGCGTACCGCAAAAAAAACCACAAAAAAACGCATTTTAATTTCTGACCTGTTACAGTCATCCCTGTGTTATAGTCATTCCCACTTTTCCTCTGGGACTGTCAGTTGCCAGACAGCTAGGGGCCAAAAAAAAAAAAAAAAAAACCAAAAAAAAACAGATATCATGATTGTTTAACTTAAGTAATACTAAACTGTTCTTGTCCACTCCTCTGACAAACTTTTAAAATTAGGAGAGTAGCAAAAAAAAACAATTCAGAACTCACAAAACCCTAAGGCTAACTCCAGTTACTCTTTCTCTTCTCTGGGATCCTATTTCCCCGCCATTATTACGACCACATCTAGTGATGATGGCATCACTTTACAACACTGACAGTGAGGCGTCTCAAGATTGTAAATCTTGCTCCATATTCTTCGCAAACTCTTACAAATGCTGTGATCGTAGGTGATACGTTAACCTTCGAGTGTACAAGAAGTCTAGATTTAAAAAGGTAAAAGGAAAAAAACAAAAACAAAAAAACAAAAAAAGTTAGAGATAAGGGAGTGGGGAGGGAGAGGGAGAGAGAACTGTCCTGAGCGCAGATTCCCGGGCAATTCTTTTTTAAAAGGAGTCCTAAGCATTATTCGTTGGGATGAAGTGTGCTTGACAGGCAGACTGAGCCATGACAAGTTATTTGGGCTCCGCCAAACACCACATTTGGCTCCGGAGTGCCACAAGAGCGATTTAAAGGAAAGCTATCTGGCAAAGAGAACCCACCTCGCGCCTCACGCCCAGGCAGCTGAAGGACGCGCTGCTCTTCCTGCTTTATCCGGGTGGAGCAGGCCCAAAGGCTGACCTTCTAGAAAACTAACCAACAGCCGCTTAACAGCAGAGTGCGCACACGTGGGGGACTCTGCGGACTCTCGGCAGGCACTTGAAGTTTTTTAAAGCGGCCGCATATGTGCTCCGAGAGAACCCAAGGAAGCGCAACTGGCCTGTCCCGCTCAAGTGTCCGTCAGGCTGGGCGGGAGGCGTAACCTGGTTCCCTCGCCCGTCGCCCCTTACCTGTTGGGAGGCCGCGAGCCGCTTCACGGCGTCGACGCCGAACACAAGGCAGGCGGGGCTGGGGCTCTCCAGAAACTCCCCCAGGACCTGCCGCTTGTCCTCGCTCTCCAAATGCTGGCTCCATTTCTCCTCCGGGAGCCCCAGCATCTGCTCCAGACGGCCGCCGACGAAGCGCACCCGCGCGTCCTGGGCGAAACTCCGCGCTTTCCTGGCCGCCGCCACCTCCTCGTCTTCGTCCTCCTCTTCATACTCCACCAGGCCCGCCGCCTCCGGGCCGGCGCCCGGGGTTAGGCGAAGGGTCGAGACTTCCCGGAAGCCTCCCGCCTCCCGGGCTGCCACCTGGGCTGCCATCCAGCACGTCTGAGGGGACGCGGGTCTGGCCGGCTCCACGCGCGCGCCCCTGCCCAGCCCCGGGTAGGCGAGGCCACCTCCACACTCGCGCTCCGAGAGGCGCCCACCTCCTCCAGCGATCACCGGGAGCGCGGCCGCTAGTCCCACACCTGCTCCCACTTGGCAGCCGACGTCTGCGCGCACTGCGAGCGCAACGCGCCAGGGCTCTGGCGAGCCTTGAGCCGCCGCGTCCCGTTTCCAGGGGAACGGCGTCCCCGCCCCGGCCCTCTGGGGGCGGAGTGAGAGCCGAGGGGAGCAGCTTTCTGGAGGGGAGGAGCGTGCCCTCGACCGGCGAGAGCCACTCGGTGGCCTCCTCCGCTGCCCTCTGGCGCCCTGGCACGCTGGACATCTTGGGGCTCCCGGGAAGGGAGAATCGCAGCCCAGTATTGATTAACTGGGATTAACTGGGTTGTGCTGAGCTCCGTGCTAAGTCCATCCCCTTGATTATTTTATTTAATACCTAGAAAGGCAGGGCTTCGACTGGTCAGCTTATTTAATGAGCAAAGAAACTAAGTCACAAAGTGGCTAAGCAACAAGGAGATGGTGGAACCAGGATTCAGGACTCGCGCCGAGGGCTTTAATTCACCTTGCCCATAGCTGTTAGAATGTTTCCAGAAAAGAGCCAACACTGCAATTCAGCTTTCCTAGTTGTGGCAATCCAAGATCTTAGGTATTCAAAATCCTGATTCTGAACCTCACCTGCCACTTACTGGGATGTTAATACACCTAATGAAAGAATGCATGACATCTTTGTAAATAGCAAAGTGCTCTGAAAATATATAGAATTATTATTCAATCCAAGAGTAAAAGCTCAAGGGGGAAAAGTTCCAGATTAGTAACAGTCTCCGTGATGTTGAAATGGATTTCAGTATGGTCTATTAATGACATTTGTTGAGACTGAAGTAGCCAGAATTTTGAGGGGCAGTCCTCAAACTAAAGTTTTTTTAGTCCTTTCCATTTGTTCATTTCAAAGTAAAAACTTCAAACCCCTTGTTTCCCATAGGAACTATGAAGGAGTGTTGCCCTCAATAATCCACTATAATAACTCATTATTGATAAATAGGTTATATCCAGCAAGGTTTGGTGCCTTAACAGTTTTTCTTTTTAGGATGTCAATTGTGTCTGATAACCACCTATAAGATCTTCTAGTTGTATCATCAGACGCTTGAATGAACACAGGCTCCTGGAAAGCCTTTATAATGAACACAAGCTCCTGGAAGGCTGTTTTGTATGGTCCAAAGCAATCCTTGGGGCACCCAGTGGCTACTAAGCAAGCCTGGAAATCACTGTAAACACCTTACAATGCTTCTTAGTCTCTCCTCTCATGCCTATATTCTACCTTTGCATCTCCTACCCCAGAGACACAGGAATTCTGTAAATAAGAGTTGAATTAAATTGAAGTGAAAAACCACTTTAAAATTCAGCAGAAAAATTTAAATCATAGTGTTACTATTTAAGTACAATTTTCAAAAAGTTACATAGTAACTCAAAATATAGAATGAAGACATGTCAAAGATGTCTTCAACTCATTAATGAGGATATCAACAAAATGGTGAAGTTGGTTCCAGGAGAATCAGAGAAAGCGATTCACAGGCAGTGGAGAAAGACTATTGAAATAAGGTTGCTAGGTTAGATACAATACTCCTTAATGTCCTATAGGACAATATAATCTTGACTTCCGTTTTGGGTTTTTTTTAAAAATGGTGTATTTCAGAAGTAATTCATATCTGTAACGAACAAAAATCTGCAGTTAACTGCAATTAACAGAAAACCCAAGTAATAGTGGCATACAATAAGAACATTTATAATCTCACCCAAGAAGTCTGATTGCAGAAGAGCCATGGGTTGGTTAACACAAGGACTCTGGGATGAGACTGTTGTTCATCTCCCTTTTCTGTGGTCTCTAACCGGTCAGTTATTCTCCTATCATGGATGCTAAGTGGTGATCATGTTTTCTAGCATTCCTTGCAGGTGACAAAGTCCAGAAGCAAGAAAACAGCATCTTCATTTTTGTGTAAAGAAAACTTTCTGAAGCCCTCCAGAAGATGTTCCTTTTCATCTGATTGGCCAGTATTCCATCTCACGTCCATATCTAAACTTGGGTTTGTCAAGGGAAATGAGATCAAGATCCAACTCCAGCTTCCTTTTAAGGATATGTGCAGTAGGAGGAGCCTGAGCAAAATCTGGGTTCTGCTAGTGAAGAAAAAGGGTAAAAACTGTCCATTTGGTAGTCAACCAAGAAAGGTATGGATGTGTTTTTTTCTCAGATTCCCCATAAACGTATAACATCATGGGAAGTATCTCTTTACACTAACACAATTTCCCAAGAATTATGAAGACTTTATTACTTTTTTTCCCCCCTAAGTGTGGCTAAACATTAAAAGAACTTTATTCTTGGAGAAGCCTGGATTAAGGTCAACCTGAGATTTTGGAAGGAGAAAAAGGAAAACAGGGTAAAATTGAGAAAACTATGTGATTTGAGGAATTTTACTGTCTGGATTTCCAGAGATATCAATACAGAAACAAGTGGGTAAAGGACAAACATAACGGGGTGCCACCGTTGAGGCCATCAGATATGTGCCATGGTCAAGAGTGGGGGCAGAGAAGGGTTGTATACCAAGTGAAGAGACATGGAAATCAAAGGCAGGAATGTCAACTCATAAGGTCAAGGCCATTCAAAGCAGATACACAACAATAGTTAAGCTACAGTTTCTTACCACTGCTGGTTTTGATTAAAAAAACCAAAACAAACAAAAAACAATAACAACAACAACAAAAAACAACCTAAAGCATCTTTGCTGAGTCTAAGCATGAATTTAGGAGATAGAGGGGGAAATGTAATAGAAAACCAACAGATTTGCAGGAAAGAATAATTTTGTAACATTTAGAGAGACACTCTAAAATGACTGAGGTGTACTGGAGGTGTACTGGAAATGACTGACAGAAGCAAGCAAACAAACAACAAGGATCACAGGACTCTGGAGAGGAAATCCTCACCAGTCTATAGTGTAATCTCTTCCTGTACCTGTATGATGTACTCTACCTTGCATTATAGTTATTTGTGCAGCTTTCTTATTTTTCCTTATTAGCAACAAAGCCCTTTGAAGGCAGGTGCTGTCAGGGACTGTGCCATTTATTTATTTTACCCCCTGCAGCATCTAACACAGACCCTCCACCAGCAATACTACCGTTCGAATATTTGTTGAATTGAAATAAGCACTTCAAAATAAAATGCCAACAAGGGAAGGACTTCTGTAACCCAAAAAGTTTTAGTCAAGGAAAGGGTTAGAGCCTCTGAAAGGAGAAGAGAAAAATAAATGTGTAAAAAGAGATGAATTAATTTAATTAATTAAGAGAACAGAAGTTTTATTTCTGGAGCACTAGTTCCAGAGAAGGAAGAGGATTTAGAGATTAAATAAATTCTACAAAAGAATATGAGTTAAGTTGTAGGGAGTAATAAACACAATTATTTCTGAATATCTCCTACATTGTATCAAACACATTATTATTTCTATTCCTGCTTGTTAAACCTTTCTTTGAAGTCAGAAATGAGGAGAAAGCTTAGAGAAAGTGCTCAGAGTTGGGCACAGGTAGGAATTAAATGAGGATTCGTGATCCCTCCCCCGGTGGAGGCAGCGCACACATTTGTCTAGTGCTCAACAGTTTACAAAGCCCTTTCATAGGTGCTACTTAGTGGAGAGAGATCTGAGGAGAGCTGTGTGTTTGTATCAGGTAAATCTGCCTTTCTCTTTTCTATTTACATTGCTGATGTACCCATTGTAAAGCTGCTAAGCTTTCTTCCTAAACCAGTAAGCATTGTTTGCATTCTTGCTTTTCTCCCTAAATATATATTTATGTTCCTAATACGAATTCCTAATATAAATATATTTATATTCCTGATATGAATTGTTCCAGGATGTAGAATATCACATATAATTTGTAATATCCCCAAATCTCCAAGGATTAGAATACCCTAATTGAATGCCCAAATTCTACCAGCACCAAGAAGTCCCCAAAGCTTTCCCAGCAATTCCAGCTCCTTACAGAGAGGGCATTCTCTGTGACACACAGCAAGGTTACTTGGGCTGGGAAAGGTTAGAATTAATAAAACATCCTTTCAGTGCACACTAACAGTTCTTTTCCTGTGGCCATCCAAACCCGTAACTCCCCATGTAAACGGACAATGCAAATAATCTCCTGTGAATCTCAGTAGTTTGATCCTGAAATGGTCAACAAAACTACAGTTGGCAAGCTCAAGGTGTTGGGGAAGAGAGGGGATTGATGGAAGCAGAAAGGAAATAAACATATCTTGAAGTGTAGTTCATTGATTCTGTGATGCACCTTTTTTCACATTTTAATATTTCTGCAATTGGGGTCTGTCTTACTCTTGTAGTCTGCCAAGAGTCATGTCTGTGGTCGTTATTACTGCCCATACATCTGCAACAAGACTTGCAAAATGGAACATTATCAGCACAGAAGAAATTCCTGGAGGTAACAGTGGAGCATTCTTTTAAGAAATGCTACATCATTAATACTCTTCATGGCACACTTTGGAGTATAAACCTACCTGTCCACTGTTCACATTCAGCTAGGACGCCAGTATAGCCACAGTGGTTATTAAAATGCTGAGATAATTCCATACTGGAAACTAAATAGCCACTCTGGCTCCCAATCCCCCTACTACCACCCCATGACCTCCCCAAGATCTAGTAACTGAAAGAGTAATGCCAGGGGGGTGGGGGTGGAGGTATGGATGGGGGTGTGGACTATAGGATGGAGAAACAGGGAGGGGCTCTGGGACCTCCCTCCAATCAATCCCTTCTGATTGATGGGTGCTGTGCTGTGTCTGTTATTAAATTTTTTGACTGTTATCTCTATCTATAATAATCAGGAACAATAATTATTGTTATATTCTTTTGTTTACAGGGAATGAACTGAACTTGGAACAGGGTAACTCTTAG